AATTGTTTCTTTACTTTCTTTTTCTGCTTTTGTGTGGACCTTTTAGGATTAATATCCCTCTTTCCTGGTCTAGTTCAAGCTGCTACACACTGGATTTTGTTCAGTGCTCTTTAGACCTTCTCTCTGGAGTTACTGTAGATTATGTAACTGTTTGGCATTGCAGCAGAATTTAATTTTGCCTGCTGATGCGACAGTGTAATGATCTGTATGTGGAAGGCAGTTCGTCTTTGGGAAAAGATGATTTAAACTTACTAAGATGAACGAAGGCTTTTTACAGACGCGGGCTTAGTATCCTCTCAATGGGCTGAGACTTTCCTGCCCTCTTGTAAGGGATCCACATACTTTGCACGCCGTGGTGAGGCCCAGGGAGGATACCCTCTCTCTAAGCATGAAGTACGCCACATTCAGTTTATAGAACTTCAGAATGTCAGTGCTGCAGGGCCACCTGGGTGACAAAAAGGCTCCACTGATTAACAGTCCCTCATTTCAGACTGGATGAAGTGGAGACCCAGAATGTGAAATGATGTGTCCAGCATCAAAGAGTGATCCAGTAGCAGATCTGGGACTTGAACCCTGAATCTTGGTCTCATATCCTTCAATGATACTATTTCGCTTCTGATCAGTTTTTGGGAATATACTAGACTTCCGCTGGGAGTCTATACTGTAAAGCTTCACTGGGAGGTCTCAGAATGCAGTAGAAGCAAAAAACCTGGCTTCTAGTCCCCCTGGACCCCTTACTAGCCATATAATCTTGAACATCGTTTAACATCTCTGAGCCTTGGTTAATTCATCTTCTAGAAGAATGCTGTCTAGGAGAAATATAATGTGAGCTGCGTTGCAGAAAGTAAAAAGAAACAGGTGAATTAATTTTAATAATTTGTTTTACTTAATCTTGTATATCCAAAATATTATTTCAATGTGTAATCAGTATGAAAATTGTAAATGAGTCACACTCTTTTGGGGTTTTTTGCACTAAGTCTTTGCAGTCCATTGTGTTTTGTTTTTTTTTTTCCTGATCTTCAGCACATCTCAGGTTGGACTAGCCACATGTCAAGTGTTCAGTTCTGTGTGCTATACTGTACAGTGCAGAACCTTGGAAAGTCACAGTTGGGAAAACACTTAGAGATCATTGAAGGAGTCACAACCTGTAGATTCAGAAGCTAAATTGTAGCCCATGGCCCCATGTTGTTTGAATTTCAGGTAAAGAATTGTTGAACATGAATGTGTTTTGGACAAGCACGTACCCTCTGGTTTGTTGCAGTAGCCCACCGGTCTCTCCTGTTACCAGTGTCATCAGTTATATTGTCTGCCCTTCTTGACCAACCGCCCTTCCCCTCCAGTCTTCAGCTGGTGAATCCAAGGCTTTAAGAGGAAGTGATTTGTCCAAGGTCAATAGCTAGTTAGCAAATCCAGGAATAGAAGCCAGAGTCATTTGACTCTGAATCTGCTCTCTTTCTATTAAATCACAATGTCAGTCATTCTCATTCCTGCTTATATCACAGGATTATTGTGCAGTTCAGACGAGCTTAAGTGCTACACAGATGTGGTAGCATTGTATTGTCTGCTGGACAGGGCATGTAGTGAAATCTTACAAAGTTTAAGCTTTAAATGGGCTTTTAACCTGTTATTTTGAAAAATTAGTTTATATTTTCCTAACAAAAGGTAATGCAATCATTTATTTTAAGAAGTGTAGAAATAGAGAAACATGTCTTGCACATGGTAGATGTTGAATGAATATTTATTGAATGAATTGATGAAAAAAACTCACACATTCCTATTCATTAACAAACTGCTAAGAACACTTGGCTTGTTTCCTATTTATAGAATTTAAAAAATCTTATATATTATTATGCTATATATACATTTTATACTTTATATTTTGCTTTGCTCTAATTAACATTGTAGCATAAGAATAATAACAACTTCTTTTATCCACTTTGTTTTTTTCGGACTTGGGTTATTTTCTATCATTTTGGACTAATGTTCCCTCACCTCTTTTGTTCCCCTTCTGTTTGTTTAAGATGCAGGAGAGCTGTATGTTTGGGGAAGCAACAAGCATGGGCAACTGGCTTCCCAGGCTGCTTTCCTCCCTGTGCCCCAGAAAATAGAAGCACATTGTTTTCAGAATGAAAAGGTCACTGCTGTCTGGAGTGGGTGGACACACCTGGTTGCTCAGACAGGTGAGAGAGTGGCAGCGAATTTGTGGTTGGTAAGAGCAGCTGGGGGACAGCTGTCTAAACGGCTGTGAATGCTTGGGATTAGGTAAGTTGGTTTTTTACTGATGATATACTTTTAGGACTAGGAAGAGGAGGACGGAGGACCTGGGATCTAGTTCTCCTCTCTGGATCTCAGGTTTGCACCCAAAAAGGCAAGGCTGGGAGAGGTTAACTCATTCTGGTCCTCAGTGGCCACGAGGTTGTGAGAAGGAACCCACTGCAGCAAGCATCACCCAGAGATTTGTCCAGGTTGTTGGGGAGTCTTTGCCTTGTTACACTAAGGAGATGACTCTATTTGCATTTCCACCTGAGTCTAAATTAAAGGCGTCAGAAACTGTTACGTTAAAGATAAACATTTCAAGATTGAGGCAGGAGCATTATTTTGAATCATAACTGGCATGGTATTTTGATTTAAATTTGTATTAACCCTAACAAACTATGTACGTTGATTCAGACATCCCCATGTATTTCCTTACCAGGCCATGCCATCCAAATTCTGTCATCTTTATCTTTTCTTGATAATATCTTCATTTCTTTCTCATCTTTCCCTTAGGGCAGTTCTCCTTTCTTGGTCTTCATATTCCTGATTTGTTGTCAGGAAATTTGTTTTTTTGTGGCCTCCCTTCTTCCCAGCCTTCCTGGAGCATGTGCTGACTTACACAGAGTTTCCCAGGCAGGCAATCTGTAATTCTTAAGACCCAGTATCATGTCAAGGCCTCTTAAACTTCAGGGGTTCTTAGGAGTTCCATTGCCTGCTCTCGGCCTGCTTGTTAGCTCCACGTGGATCTCTAGACTCCCAAACACTGGGTGACTTATTCCAGTGCTTTGTAAAGTGAGTTTTTCAGGTCAGCTTTGGTTATCCTTGGTAGTCACACATTCTACACATTTGAACACATAGACATAGACTTAGGAGAATTTTATCTGTGATGCTTTTAATTGGTCCTTAAAATTTTTTTTAAGAAAGTGTGTCATTCATTTGGAGGAAAATCATGACTTTCCTCAAAGAAGTTGAAGGTTGGGACCATCTACATAAATTTTTCTTAAAGAGACTCACTGAGCATAGTAGCCGCTTATTTGTGTAATTGTTAATCGCTCTCTCTTCCTCCAGACAGGGAATTGTGTGTGGGAAGGCACCCTATGAATCTTGCTCACTTCTGTATCTGCTGCCTAGCCGAGAAAGTATTCACTTCCTGCTTTAAACTGTTTCTAGTTAAAAGAGACTAAACATACTCAGATGCATATGAGGCTGGGTAGGTAGCAAGGATTTCTGACCTCTTTCCTTGGGTACACTGGTCCGTGATCAGAAGGCTTCAGTTTGTCTCTTTGGATTCAAGAGTCCAAAGAAATCAGTTATTGTTTATTGGGAACCTGTTGAGCAGTGTGCTAAACCTTGGAGAAGGAGAAAAGACCTGGGCTGTGCCCTCCTCCTACAATGTGTAGATGGGCTTGAGTCTAAGAATGCAGAGATAGAAGACTTTACCATCCGTCTGTCCCTTATACAAATAAACTGAGTCTCACGCTCAGTTTATGTACCATGCCTTATACTTGATCTTAATCCTACCCTCAAGGAGCCTGCTGTCACCAAGGGAGACAGACCTGTCATCAGATTTCAGTGCAGCAGTAGAGCTAATAAGTCAACGAGCAGAAGTGGCCCAGACACTACCAGTAGTGTGAGTCATTGGGTGTTAGCAGGTAGGCGTTTCATACTTAGTCTTCAAAGAATTGCAGTGCAATAAAATACACTTACTACCAAATGGTAGTGAGTTTAGTGGAGTCTGTCATTAAGTGGTTAGGCAGCTGACTAATGAAAGACGGAAAGACTTCCCTGCTTTGATTCTAGCTTTGCAGCATCGGAACGCATGCTGATTTCCACATCTGGGCCAACAGCCCAGCCCTTGGGGTGGGAGTTTGGAACCCAAGTCCCTGACACCGTGTGAGTCACCCCAGCTGCTCTGGGACCCAGCTTTGGGTCTCCACCTCCACTCGAGGACATGATTTTTGGGTAAAGTTTCAGCTGTTTAATTAACTTGTTAACTCAGCTCTCTTGTTTATGCCCTTCGTCACTTTCCCCTGTCTCCTAAGTCCACAGTGGTTAAAAGCTGGGATGTTTGAATGTCCTGGTTGTCGCGCGGAGCTTTGGGTAAATGGTATTTGATTCACCTCGTTTGCTCTCCTCCCAGCAGCAGTGGAAGCCTTTGCCCAGGCGCCGTGTCATTTGAGAGGAAACACCCAGGGCTTCCAGTTTAAGCAGACCCAGCTGCTCACATTAATGGGAACAAAATTTGCTCACAGGGTCAGAAGCAGCTTATTAATGGAACAAGGAATTGTTCGACTGTAGTTATTTTTGCAAGCTCCAGTGGTGAATTGTCCCTGGGACCTACCTGCAGCCACATCAGCGCAGAGGCTGCTCCCATGCTGGAAGACAGTAGTATTGTGATGTTGATTAAAAACAGTCTATGGGCAGTGACCAGAGATCTGTCCAGTGAGGTGGGATGGGCTGGGCTGGGCTTGGTTAGGATGAGAGAGAGGGAGTAGACTGCTTTCCATTCTCCATAGTCCTTCAGCCAGGGACTCTCAACCGCAGGTGACTTCGTCCCTCAGGGGACATTGGCAATGTCTGGAGACATGTTGGTTGTCACAACTGGGGGTGTGGTGGGTGTTACTGGCATCTAGTTGGTCCTATAATGCAAGGGCAGCCCCCACAGCAAAGAAATACCCAGCCCCAAATGTTAGTGGTGCCCTGATTGAGACATGCTGCCCAGGATGCAGTCCCCAGTGGTAGGTGCTTAGCGAGGGCAGTTTACATGGTGTCAGGATAACTACAGTTTGTGTGTTTGGGAATCTGGGTTGCAGTCTCTGCCCTTCCCCTTCGGGAGTCTGGTACCTGCCTGCAATGCTCGCGATGGAAAAATACTTTTCTCTGTTAGAGGCATTTGGAACGAGTCCAGGAGAACCTGTTCTAATCTGGGAAAGTTGGCAAGGTACCTGGGTCTTAGGCTGGTGGAGCTGCATTCTAGAAACCTTCCCCAAGCTGCTTAATGTCCCTGATCGTTGTTCTCGGGAACTTCATGGGACTCCTGGGTGACTTTATCCAGGCTCGGTGACATGCCGCTGTCTCCTTGGAGATTCGTGATTTCCTGGCCAGAAGTGCTTGCAGTGAGAGCTGGATGGCAGATCTGAGTGCCTTACGAGTTGGGTGACCTTAGTTGAGTCACTTCACCTGCCTGGGCCTCAACTGCCTCAGCTCTCGGGGAGGAGATTAAAACCTACCTGTCTTCTGCATACAGCCGCTGTGGTGTTCAAATGAATGACTCTGTGAAAGATCCTATCTAACTGTACAGTGCTGCACATACATAAGTGGGGGTGCCTGTGGCTGGGATTGTGAGTATATTAAGGAGTTAGCAGTTGCTTTTAGGAAGATTTCTACTTCAGCAGGGTCTGTGCAGGGCTTGAGAGGGCTCACTAGCTGGCCATGCTTGAGATCCAACTCTTGGTAGTCGAAATTTCCTGACGTCTTTTGCTGACATGTAGCCTGTCAAATGCCTGTTTTATATGATCAACAGTTTGGAAGTTCTTTATATCCTTACAGGTAATTTCCCTGTTAAAACCTCTGATCATGCTATTCTTCCTTCATGGTACTCACCTCAGTTTGTAATTGTGTACATCCAATTGCCTTCTTATTTGCTTGATGCCTAGACTGTAAATTCCATGAGAGCAGTATCTGTTTAGTTCACGGCTATATCCACAGCACATGGCACAGGCCCAGCATACAGTAGATGAATGAATAAGGAGAGAATCATGGATTTGAAGTCAGACAGGCCAAGGTTTAAATCTCAGGTCCGCCAGCTTCCTGATCATGTGGTTGTGGCAGCTCCACTCCTCTCTGTCACCACCGTAGTTCAGGCCACTGTCACCTCCTGCAGGATCCTGTAGGGACCTCTGATTGGTGTCCCCATCTTCCCACATTCGCTCCCTCTCCCCTCCAGTCTGTTCTCTATACTTCAGTCGGAAGATCTTTTCAAACCTGTGTGTCACATTCCAGTGGCTTCCCACTGCTTTTACGATAAAGACATAATCCTTAGTGGTTGCAGGCCAGGCATGGTCTGCCCTCTGCCTGCCCTTCCAGCCCCATTTCTGACCACGCTAGTCCTTAATCTCTCTTTGACCTCTACTCTGGCCTTGGTACCTGGAATGCGTCCTTTATTTCCCACCATAGTGTCTCTGCAGCTGATGTTCCCTCCATTTGCCACACCTATCCCTGCTCTCCCTCTTTATTCTGACTTAGTTACATCCATTTTTTTTTCCCCCAGACCTCAACTTAGTCATCACCTCCTCAGGGAGGCCTTCCCCTGCCATCTCTGACTAATCACTTTCCCTTTTACCTCTTCTCATGGCACTACAGCCTCTCCTTCGTGCTATTTTCTGTAGGGTTCTTTAGCTCATTCCCCTCCCACCAGGCTGTAGGCTCCATCCCAGCAGGAGCCATGTCCATTTTGCTCAGCATTGTAGCCTCAGTGCTTGGCAAAGTACTTGGCACATATGAGGTAGGTACTCAGTGCATGTTGGACAAGTGAGTAAACCTAACTTCTCTGAACTTATTTCCTCATTTGGAAAATGGGGAAATACTGCTGACCTTGGATGAGGATTACATGAGATGGTGTATTAAATCTGCCAGCATCCAGCACAGGACGGGTCTTGGGTCAGTTCAGTACGCATTAGCTTCCTCTGCCCTTTGAAACTCTGGAGCAATCAGGTCAGATGCCCCATATCTTCTCTTTTGAGCTGAACTCTATGGGGCTGGATATGAATGTCTCTGGATTGGTAACAGGTTAATTCAGGACTCTCCTGGTGAGCTCAGAAAGATCAATGCTTCCAAATGCTAAGTGCCGGGTTGTTGGTGACTTAGAATTTCAAGGGGAATAATTTACACAAGCTCCAGACCTTAATGTGGAATTGGTCAGGAT